TATCACATAAATCTGAGACCGCACAATACATAAAAGAGTTCATAAATGAAGCCGAAGCCTATAAAAACTTGAAAACTTCTAAAATTCGAAGTGACAATGGAGGTGAATATTCCAGTACAAACTTTAAAATATGGTGTAAAAACAAAGGCATTATTCTGGACAACACAGTACCATATTCACCACAGTTAAATGGCAAAGCTGAGCGATTAAATCGTACATTATTAGAAAAGGCCAGAGCTATGATTTTTGATAGCAATCTTGATAAAGAAATGTGGGGTGAGGCAGTGTTTGTTGCTGATTATCTACTCAACAGAAGCCCTACTGAAACAACAGATAAAACTCCAATAGAAAATTGGACTGACAGAAGACCTGACCTCACAAAAGTACAAGTATTTGGTTCCAATGCCTATACAAAAGTACTTGGACATTTAAAAAAGTTTGACCCTCGAAGTCAAAAATACACTTTTGTAGGCTATGCTCCTTGTGGATACCGACTTTGGGACTCTGTAAATAGAAAAATAATAGTTCGAAGAGATGTAGTTTTTGGAACACCAGAAAAAATGGAACATAATGTAAATATGAAAACTGAGATTGAAAGTGCGGAAGAAGAGGATGATATGAATCAGCGAGTGAATGAGCTAGAAGAAGAACCAGATGAAGACGAGAATAACAGATCAGGAGAAGGCCAGATAGAAGAAAATCCCGACGAAGAACCTGAGAAAATTCAAACAAGAAGTGGAAGAATAGTCAGAAGACCCAAAATATTTGATGAATATGTAATGCTCACATATGAAGAAGCAGTAAATAGTGCAGAAAAGAACAACTGGATATCAGCAATAAATGATGAAAAGGAATCACTGAACAAAAATAATACATGGATTTACGTAGACGACAAAGAGAAAGCTGAAGGACAGAAAATATTGAGTAGCAAATGGGTATTTCGTATGAAAGAAAATGGGAAATTCAAGGCCAGACTAGTCATCAGAGGATTTGAGCAAGAATTTGGAATTGACTATTCAATTACTATTCAATATAAGAATAAAATAAAGAAACTTTTAGACCAGTAATAAGTATGTGTCCTTTAAGAGAACTATTTGCATTAACTGCTTCAAAGAGATTTCATTTCAAGAAATTTGATGTTAAGACCGCTTTCCTCTATGGAAAATTGGATGTACAAATATTCATGGAAATCCCAGATGGTTACAAGAATGAAAACAATAAAAACAATGTGTGTCTACTACAGAAATCTTTATATGGCCTAAAACAAGCTCCTTTAAATTGGAACGAGCATTTCACCTATGTGCTGAATTCCAAAGGACTCACACCTTTAAAAAGTGAAAGATGTATTTGTAAAAATTCAAGTTCAACCTTATTTTTAGCCATTTATGTAGACGATGGTATCCTTTTTGGACATAACATTGATGAAATGGACATTTTGCTGGAGGAATTGAATAATGAATTTGATATGGTGTCTTGCAATAATCCAACCTCATTTTTGGGAATGCAAATAAAAACCAATACTGACAGCATTATTCTGTTTCAAGAAAAATTTGTACAAACACTTTTGGAGGATTTTGGTATGGAAAAATCAAAATCAGTGTCAACACCAGAGCTGGGCAGGGCTTGAGTGCTTTGTGCTTGCGAAAGTGCTTGAAGCACTTTGAGGGCTTGAAAGCCCTGTGCTTCAAGCCCTTTTATAGATTTGTAATTGGGGCTTGCAAAGTCAATTACTTTAGAAAAGTGCTTGGTAATTTGTAATTGAAAAAAGTAATTCAAGCCCTTTCAATGAGCTTCAATTACTTTTAGAGGGCTTGAAGCACTTTTGGGAGCTTGAAGCCCTTCGAAAGGGCTTGAAGCACTTTAAGAGGGCTTGAAACACTTTTGGGAGCTTGAAGCACTTTGAAAGGGCTTGAAGCACTTTAAAAGGGCTTGAAGCACTTTGAAAGGAATTTGAATTGACCATCACTCAACCTATCCCCCACTTGAAAATTTTCGATCGTATTTTGTCCCTTTTTTTTTCTATTATTTGAACTTGAACCGTCTTATGTCTTTTCTTTTTTAACAATGGAGGTTTTGGGTTTGAGCTTAGAATGGAATTTAAAAAAAAAATAATGAACTTATTATTCAAATAAATAATTAATTTATATTGGTAACCTATTTAACTTTATCACTGGATTTTTTCCACTTTTCCCCATTGAACATTTTCAAAACCTTAAAATTGAATTACCATGTAGTACCCCAGAACTACATCTCAAAAAAAACATACTACTGCTACTCTGTGAAATGTAAAGTTCGTCTCTACTATACCAATTCTGTTTGATGAGTGTACGCGGTAGCTTATGCCACTTTGAGAATTTTATTACAAATTCAAAGTGCTTTAGGCACATTTAAAGAGCTTCAAGCACATTTAAAGAGCTTGAAGCACATTTAAAGAGCTTGAAGCCCTTTTCAAGGCACCCCAAGCACTTTTGATGTGCTTCAAGCACTTTTCAAATCACTTTGAGGGCTTTGTGCCTGTCAAGCCCAAAGCACTTTGAGGGCTTTGTGCTTGTGAAGCACTTTTGAAAATAAAAAGGAATTTGTGCTTGAAATTGAAGCACTTTGATAGAGGGCTTAGGGCTTAGTGCTTCAAGCCCTTTTACTGAGGGCTTTGCCCAGCTCTGGTCAACACCAATGGTCTGTAATCAGAACCAAGAAGCAATATCCTCAGCAAATAAAACCTTTCCATACAGAGAATTAATTGGAAGTCTCTTATACCTCACTAATAAAACCCGACCAGACATCAGTTTTTCTGTGAATAAGTGTAGCAGAAAAATGGAAAATTCAACCGTTGAAGATGTTGTTAATGTAAAACGCATTCTACTTACTTAGTGATGTGCAAAAATGAAGGCATAAGCTACAAAATGGACTCTGATAGATTGGAAATAACTGCCTATAGTGATTCAGACTTTGCTGGTGATCTTGACTCAAGAAAAAGTACAACTGGTTTCGTGATCATGTTCTGTGGAGGACCGATTGCCTGGTGCGCAAGAAGGCAGCCAATAGTGTCTTTATCCAGCACGGAAGCCGAGTACATTGCTGCTGCAGAGTGTGTGAAAGAACTGACTTATCTGAAAACAGTGGTGGACGAACTAATGCACAGTGACATTAAATTGAAATTAAAAGTGGACAATCAAAGTGCTATTACACTAATAAACAATGGACAATTCAACAAGAGAAGCAAGCATATTGATGTGCGTTATCATTACATCAATGAAAAGGTATCTCAAGGTATTGTAAGCATTGAATATTGTCCAACAAATGATCAAGTAGCCGATATCTTTACTAAACCTCTTAATAATGTTAAATTTGAGAAATTTAAAAAGGAATTAATGTGTAAAATCTGATTTTCGAGTACTTGCAATGTTTTTTTTTTGTATAATTAAAATAAGTTTATTTTTCTAGCATTTAAAAACCAAAAACAAAATTAGGAGAAGGTGTTAAGTATTCGAAGCGTTCGATAACTTTTCTATGGTATAAGCTAGATATTTGTTTAAATAAGAATTTGAGGTTAAGTTAAAATGTGTCAATTTTTGAATTTATCAGCTGTTAGTTTGAAGTTTGGCTGTACTTGTACTACCCATGTGTTCTTTGTTTTGTGGTGGATTGTGGAAATAAATTAATCAAAATTCTGCGTTTATTTAATATAAAATAAGATAAAATCCCAACAAAATCAAGCCAATCAAGAGCCGGAAATATTTGAAAATTGAATTTTAAAGGAAATAAAAAGCTCGGAATTTACAAAAAGTATTGAGTTTTTAAGCCAATCAAAAGCCAGTAGAATCGAAAAATTGAATTTTTAAGCCAATTAAGAATCGGAAATTTTCGAATATTTAATTTCAAAACGTCAAATTGATCCACTCAAGAGCCGGGAATTTACAAATATTGAATTTTTAAGCCGATCAAAAACCGAAGAAGTTAAAAAATTGCATTTTTGAACCAATCAATAACCGAAAATATTCAAACATTGAATTTTGAAACGTCAAATTGAGACAATCAAAAGCCGGGAAAATTGATAAATTAAATTTTTAAGCCAATTGAGATTCGGAAATATATAAACATTGAATTTAAAAACATCAAATTAGGCCAGCTGGGAATAATTATCTGATTGACTTATAATTCAATAAGGAATTCTTTTAGAATGTTGTTACCAAACTGCTAAACACTTGAACCAAGGCCGGTTCCGGTTTACACTTTGATTAGTAGTAGTAAGTGCAACGCTGATTAGTTGTGGAATTGTAAACGGATCTGTCAAGTGATAAGTGCAAGCTTCTATGGTGCAAGCTATTTACAAATGCAAGTAAATCAAATTGTGTTCTATTTTTCTGTTTAGTAACACTACATGTTAAATTACCATTTGACACTAAACACTTGCAGTTAACAAAATGTAAACCGGCCATTAGTCTAAAAATTGTTAGGCGGTATTTTTTAAGAAGTTTGACTTCTACCCATGTGTACGGCTTTGCACATGATTTCTTTTTCAGTTAAGCGCGCATTTTAAGACTACCAGGATCATGATTGAAAGAAGTTAACGAAGGCAGAAAATGTTGAAATGCAATTTTACACAATTTAATCTAATGGCGTTTCCGATTGGTAGATTTAGTGCGAAACTAGTGGAATTTTGTCTATTTCTGTCTTTTTTTTCTACAGTTCGATTAAAAGGATGCAAATACACTCAGTGCACACTGAATCTACCAATCGGAAACGCCATAAGACATTTTCTCTTGTTGATTTGAAATTTGAAATGATTTGATATTTCAACAACAAAAGCAATTTTAAGACAAATTTAAACCATTTTGTGGTTATCAATTCAATTTTTACACTCATTTTGGGCATTTTCGCCTAATATTTTAGGAAAAAAATCCAAAAGGAAGCACTTTTCGGACAAATTTATGTCATTTTGTGAAAAAACGTAGAAAATATCGTTGACACTTTTAGGACTAATTTGGAAATTTGTGTAGTTTTTTGAAGCAATTTTGAGCCAAAAATACGGCTTCGGAAGCTAGTTTCGATTGTTTTTTAGTTAAGACAGTCAAACGCACTCTATCAGTTCAAATGAGCTGTCACTGACAAAGGCCGTTAAAAATTACTTACCATGCCTATTAAGTCCCCCAACAACATAAATAAAGCCCTTAATGTCCCGTACTCTTGGTTCTGTACGAAAACTTTGTATCAGCGCCCTTCTTTCCGGTATGAGATGGAATGTCAAAGCCTCGTCTACCAAATCTCTGCATTGTATCGAATATCTTATTTGTTCCTCATTCCTAACCCTGTCAGTAATATATAATGGCGATAGTAAGGGAAGGCGGACTAAAGACAATAGTTCAGGTAAATGTTCTTTTCTTTTATCAATGTCGTGTTTCAACCATCTCATGCATGCTTCAAAAACTTGTTCTTCACTGAAATATAATTATTTAAAAACTTAACTTTTGAAAGTGTATTCATACTTGTCCACTCTAAGATCGTTTTTCATGAACAGATCTTTGATTTCATTAACGGAAAGATTCAAATACTCCTCGTTTTGTGACACTTCGTGGAAATACCATTCTATGTATTTTTCTGCAGAATCGGCCAGAGTAGACGATCCCAATGATTCTGCGAAATGCCGAAATCCTAGAGCATTTTGGGGATGAATTCTGCAAAAACAGTTTAGTAATTTTTATAGAGCTATTAATTCAAAGATTTTTTTACCTTTGTAATAAATAGTTAGCACAAGCATCTCTGACTTTATTTAATTGTAGAAACGAAGCTCCAATCATGATGCTTTGTACGTTGTTTTTGTCCAACACCACTTTTCCTGTGTAGGCGAAGTTTACTAGAGCTTCCAGAGCCCTGAAAAATTGAAAGAAAAATATAATACAAAAATTTCAATGTTAACCATAGTGTTTCACCCCCAGATTTAAAGGACAAGTGAAAGTGTTTTAGACCTTTTACAAATAGAAAATTACTTAGCGGCCATTAAAATTAAAGGAAAATTACCCCGATTATAATAAAAATAAGTTGTTTTCCCATTTTTTTTTTGTCTCTCACATCTGTTTCACTTCTAAGAAAAAATTAAACGTCCTTCAATGTCTTTTTTTGGAAAATTGATTTCTTCCAAAATGGCGATACATATTTTGAGTGAATACATTGTTAATTTCAATCCCATCTCAACGTAATTGGGCATTGGGCTCAAATGAATGCCAATTTAATCCTTACAAATTTCTGATTACTCAATAGTTTCAATCTCATTGGTTTCAATGCAGTCCCAAAAATTTCGCAGGCTTCAAAGAAAGACTTTAATTTTTAATAATGTGAATCAGCAGAAGGAAATTTTTAGGTTTCTTCTAAAATTTCAATATTTTCTCTATTCACTTGCAAAATTTTAATCCAACCACTCAAACAATTTTCTAACACAAAAAATAAAACTTCCCTCAATGTTTTTTTTGAGAAAATTGATTTTTTCCAAAATTCCAAAACACACATTTCAATTCAATTTGATCTTAATGTAATTGAGCTCAAATCAACGCCAATTAAATCCCCTAAAAATCTCTAGTTAATAGTTTCAATACTATCGTAGATGCGAAGCTTCAAAGTCGTTAGATTTTGATGCTTATCGAGGTGAGTGAGCAGAAGGAAATTATTCTTTTCCGTGAGCGGTCGGAAGAGACATACTTTTCGAAGGGTTGCTGAAAAAATAGTGTACCTAATACGCCCGGAAAGTGTTTCTTTGGACTCGCAGATCTTGTCTACTGGCGCAAAAAAACAGTACTTTCCAGACTCCTTACGTAATATAGTATTTTTCTCAAATTTCATTCCTTTCTCTGTCTCTCCATTCGCAAAATTTGTGTATCGAATACTTCAAATATTATCCTCAAAGAAAAACCCAAATGTTTCTTAATGTTGTTCCCAAAGTGGTTCGAATATCTCGTATGACGGACGTGTTTTAAAACCGCTCCTACTATTTCACCGTTTTCAGTGAATATTATGGTATTATAAAGTAAAAAAAGTGTCTTGAACTCTGAAATAGTTTGTGGTGATAATGCACTAATGCAGGGCAATATTTATAATTCTAACTATGACGCAAGTCCTCAAAAATATGGACATTATTCACTAGGATCTATATCGTACTAAACATACCTAAAGCGAGCAAAAAGACAAGGTCGATAAAAGGAATTCAGATAACATTCTACGAGAATTGGAAAAAAATGTAGGTACAAAACCAAAGACAACTATGAAGATATTATTTTTAAAAATCAACCATTAAGAATTCTCCCAGAAAATCAGGGCGAACAAATAAATAGACAAATAAGGCCCAGACGCTAACTGTAAAAAACTGGGTTTACCACAAGATAATCATTCAGCCTGAAGCCCTTGGTAATTCCTTGAACAAAATAAACGTAATGCTTAAAGACCACGCTAAATCTAACTAATCTAAGATATTCTGTGTGTCAGAACATTGGAAGTCGCAAGAACATTTGCAAAACTATGCAATACAAAATTTTGAATTCGCGTCCGCATTTTGCTGCAACGAAGGCTCCGCATTGATGAAACCCAATGAGAGGGGAAGACGGATGAAATAGCCAATAGGTTTAATAATTTTTTAGTAAATGTAGTGCCTAACATTGTTGGGTCTGTAGATCAAACTCCTTATAGGTATATAGTAAAAGAGGCTGTACTTGAAAGGAATAAGAGTTACAAAGATAACAAAAGAAGAACTATAAGAAATAAGGACATCTATAAGCAAAACAGAGATATGGCAGTACAAATCATGGGACAGGAAAAGAAGAAATTTTACCAGGATAAAATTGTCGGCTGCAGGCATAATCCTTAACAAATGTGGGATACATTAAAGCCATTAATAACTTCAAAAAAAAGTAACCAAATACAAAAAGTTGATATTGATAATAATGAAATAACCGACCCTGGGGAAATGTGTAATAAACTTAACGAATTTTATGTTGATAGCATAAACAACATTGTTAGTGATGTTTATGATTGAAACGTTGGGAAATTTATTCTGGAGAGCCGCGGACTGTAAACGCGTCGAAATTTGATCGCGGAACCATATAAAGGCAATATTAGATAAGGCACCTACCTTGGAGTTGCACAGGGTTGTGCTATGCGCTGGTGTTGGCGCCTCACAGGAGCTCCTGTTTCATAAACAATGTAATCCCACTGGTCACTTCGAAAACGGGTAGATAATTGAGTTTCTAATGAATATTTTTGGAGAGTTTTTGATTCAAAATATGTAGTCTTGGCTACGGACGCGCGACCTCGCACTACTCGAACTCGACTGCTTCGAAGGTCGTAGCGTATATATGGTGCCGAATGGTTTGAAATTGTATGGTTTTTTTTATGTCAATATCGAATTTTAAATATACAAACAAATTCCCTTTTTTCCCAAACATTTGCACGAACATTTTCCGCCCACTTAAAACGGAGTTTTATTTCCCAATCCCAAATAAACATTAAAATGCTAAAATTCGCGAGTATAAAAACACGCGATAAGAACAAAATTCATATACTGCGGAAGCAAAACAACCTCGGATTCCCAAAAAAAAAAAAAAAAAATTATTCAAAACAGCACGCGACATAAAGACCTTAATCCACGGATTAAGGAGTGAAATATTAGTTAGTCGGCAATGGACATAACTTAACTGTAGGACGCTTGAGTATCCCATGTTGTGTTTTTAAAGTAACCACTCTTGCATGGCCATCTTTGCCTGGATGCAATGCGATTATGCGGCCCAAAGACCAATGCAGAGGGGACCTAGATTCATCCTTTATTAAAACTAAAGTATTGAGTTTCACCTCTGCAAAGGGAGTGGTCCACTTTGAGCGTTGCTGTAAAGTATGCAAATACTCGGCTTGCCATCTTTTCTAGAAATCGGAATTAAGGCGTTGCACTAATTGCCAACGGTTAAGTCTATTTAACTTTAAATGCGATAAATCGGGATCTGGACAGGAATTGAGGGGCTCCAGCGTCAAGAAATGACCGGGCGTTAATGGTTGCAAATCATTAGGGTCGGAACTCAGTTCGCTGATAGGTCTCGAGTTTAGCAAGGCTTCAATTTGAGTCAACAAGGTATACAATTCCTCATATGTCAGCACTTGATCACCAATGACCCTTTTTAAGTGGGTCTTGACCGACATGACGCCTGCTTCGGCAAGGCCGTTAAAATGTGGGGAACCGGGACTATTTAGGTGCTATTTTAGTTTTAGACTGCTAGCAGCGAATTTTGAAAGTTCCTCAAGTTGACCAACCGCACCTACGAAGTTGGAGCCACAGTCACTCCAAAGTTGTACACAGACTCCGCGTCTAGCGATAAAGCGTCTCAAAGCAGCGATAAATGCCTCGGTAGTGAGGTCAGATACAAGTTCCAAGTGAATGGCCTTAGTGGCACAACATACAAAAAGACAAATGTAAGCTTTGGAAACTTTCGCTCCACGATGTTTACCAAGGGTTATCTTCAGAGGGCCTGCATAATCCAACGCGGAATATGAAAAACACTTGAGCTGGGAGGTTCTAAAGGAAGGGAGGTCACCCATATAGGGCGTATAAGCCTTTGGTTTTAAACGAAAACACCTGATACATTTTGATAGAACCTTTTGAATAGCTCTACGGGCTGAAAGGATCCAAAACCTTTGGCGTAATAAATAGTGCAGTGTAGTCAGTCCGAGGTGAAAATTTTCTTGATGAGATTGTTCGATTATTAAATCAGTGAGACGATGAGTACGGGGCAGAAGTAAAGGGTGTTTGGCTTCAAAGGAAATGTCTGAATTTCGCAATCTTCCGCCCACTCTGACAAACCCGCTAGCATCCAAAAAAAGGGTAAGCTTGCGAAAGGGTTTAGGCAACAGTTTATTGGTTTGAATTTGTATAATTAAGTCCGAAAACGATTGCTCTTGGACCCTCTTAACAAGTACTAGCAAGGTATCGTGAAGTTCTAGGGCAGAAAATGACCCAGAAAGTCGGTCACATTTATGATGAACATTGTAGGCTAGCCGAACAAAATGGGCAAGAATTTTAATAATTTTCGGTAAGGAAGAGTGCCTATTGATCAATTTTTCAAAGTAAGACTTTCCTATTACTACCGACAAGACCGTGGGTTTCTCTTCTTCCCGTGCTTCTGTTTGCAGGTTCCACTGAGCGAGAGGTAAGGTTACCCACGGAGGACCGTGAAACCACAAAGAATGTTCCAATAAACCTTTAGGAGTTAGTCCACGACTAGCACAATCAGCAGGGTTGTCCAAAGATTGAACGTGAAACCAAGGTACATCCGGAATGGTTTCCTGAATATGGCTAACACGGTTTGCCACGAAACTTTTCCATCTATGCGGCGACGATGCCAACCATGCCAAAACTACTTGTGAGTCCGAGAAGGCGAATATTTCATCTATAGTGACAAGTGGCGAATATGTACGGATGACAAAATTCAAAAGATCGGCTAGTAGGGTAGCTCCAAGGAGCTCTAAGCGAGGTATAGATTTGGTTTGAAGTGGCGCAACTTTAGATTTACCGCAAGTTAAGGAGGATCGAACATTGCCGTCGGTCAGCTCGATCCGAACATATACTGCCCCTGCATACCCAAGTTCTGAAGCATCACAAAATCCCAACAGTTGACACCGTTGAATATTATTTGAAAAATTATATCGAGGTAGAGAAATCCTTGACAAAGATGGAAATTCACTTTTGTATTGGTTCCAAAGATCCACAATAGGTTGTGAGGGCGTTTCATCCCAGGGAACCTTGTCCAGCCAAAGTTTCTGCATAATAGTTTTTGCTAAGAATGTTACTGGCGCAATAAACCCCAAAGGATCAAATATACGCGCTATTTCTGAAAGGATAT